CAAATTCTGAATAACTCGTCCTCATCACCAGGAGGTTCATCATCAGACTCACACAGCCAAAAAGCAAGGCTAGGGCTGCAAAACAAGGCGAGGCTCCCCCTGTACTGTAACTAAATTCCTGTCCAAAGGTGAAGAAGATTAGGAAGCTCTGACAGACCCTATTCATATCAGTGAACGATGGTGCCCCTGAGCCATTCAAGGCTGGAGAAGAAAGGGGGAAAACACAGAGGAGGCTAGCACGTTGGCTTGCGACACACACACAAACACCCGATTCTCCTTGAGGGGCCTCCTGCTGATGCTCTGCAAGCTGCCCTTCTGCCCAGTGAGAACCCTCTCCTGAACCCCAGCTCCACAACCAGGCCAAGGACTCTTATCACAATACTACCTCGCCATGGATTACAGAGCGCATCTGTGTACCAGGTGCCTTATCAACATTACCTCCTTAATCCTCAAAGGAACCCTAGAGCAGGCACTCTCTCCATTGTGAGATAAGGAAATTTCAAGTGCAGCACTTGAGCAAACCTGCATAAAGCTAACAAACAAGTTCCTCATGACCTACTGGACCTCGTGCCATTTGGAAAGCTCAGTCCAGCTTACAGTAGATTTAGGAACCATGATTCACCAGTAACAAGGGGTCAAAAGCTATAACTCAATGGTATGAAAATACTTTCTCTGCTCTAGGCTAGTTTGTGGCCCAGGAGGTGACCTGAGATACGATGTCATTTCATCTTCTCAAAAAAAGGAAGGCAATGGCTTCCAACTCAGAATCTGTTCACTGAGGGATAATACAGTTTTTCTTGCACCCATGTTTCATACCAAGTTCAGATTAAAACCTCACTTGGCTGCCATCCCTTACTCAGAAGTCTTCCTGCCAGAAGAGCTCCAGGTCCTTCCCTGGAAGAGGCTGAAATGCTACTGCAATGATTATGGAGAGAATCTGGTGAAAACCTAAAGAATTCTGAGAAGGGAAGAGACCCACAGAACTCGCTGACATACTTACTCTCTGGCTTCAGGCTTTGCAGATATGGACACATGCCGGTGTCAGAGATACCAAGTACCTAAGACAGAGACTGCAGAAAGGAGTGCTCTGCTCTTCACATCAAATCAGCAAAGGAAGAAAGTTATACAACACCCAGTGAGTGCATCAAGACTGGTACCATCTTCAGCAGTACAATAAATTGCTTGATATGCAACATTTGTCTTCTAAAGGCCAAACTCCTGAAAATAGGCACACCACTGACCCAGCCGACCCACTTCAGAAATTCATCCTAAGGAAACAGTGTTCAAAGATTATGTTACAAAATGTCTGCTCAAGCATTGTTATATCAGTTATAAAATATTGAAGCAAAAAAACACACCCAGCACTGGCCACTGAGTTTGTAAAGAACAGGGCAGTCAGATAACAACATACTAGAAAGCTACTAAAATGATGTGAACAAACATTGATTAGCAGAGTAAGATGAACACAATCAATTACTCAGTACAAACAGCAGGTAAGAACACATGCAGACAAAAAAAATGTGCCCCCTGGTCTGCACAGAAGAGGAAAAACATCCAGAAGCAACCTCCATAACACTGAGACTTCATGTGGGAACAGGGCTGTTTGTTCCTCAGTGGCTACACATTACTTTCAATGAGGAAAAAAAACAAAAGTGACCCTTTGTAACTTTTTAAAAATGAGGCCAACTTGGGAAGCCGTTTCCCCATCTCTAGCACTAACATCCTGTTCTGACCCTTCTGCCACATCGCCTCCTTCTCACTTAGTCTGAATTTCTGTCTAATTGCCTTTAAAAGACTCGCAGAAGCGCACTCTGTTGTTCAACCTCACAGGCTTCCCTGACCCTGCCATAGCATGCTGCAATTAACGGCGATGGAGTCCTGCCACCCACAAGAACAGCAGCCGGGGGGAGCAAGGCCAGCATAGCCAGCTCAGGACACAGCATTGAGGCCACAGCTGGAATAATTCAGATCTCCACAGTCACAACCAGTGCCATCCAGGGGTCTGTCTCCTTCCTGGGACTTGGGAGTAACACACCCTGTACCCTGCTCCCCTGGGAACCTCAGGCCCAAGCATGCAGAATGTGCTGAGTATGTGGGTGAGTGGGTCTGTGCTTGTCCACCTGAGTGCCCTGAGACTCTCAGCTTCTGGAGGTCCCACGGCGCCTTGATAAGGAAGTATCCACCCCCTAGCAAGCAGCACCACTGAGAACCAAAGACTCTTCAGGTCCTGGGCACGAGGCTCAGGGGCTTAGACTTCACAACAACCTAGTCCTTGCTCCAGCACCTTTCGGTTGCCAAGGCAGAGAGCCAGAAACCTGCCCAAGCCACACGACCTGCAAGGAGCAGCTCAGCCACTCCCTAGGCCCTGCTGGCAAGGCATGCTCCGAGCTCCAACCTCAGCGCCTGAAGGCTACCGCGCCTCTTCACTTCCCTGTCCCAGCAGCACCTGTCTCCAGCACACCTGGTGAGTGGGCAGCAGAGATGTTACCAACCCCACCAGGAGCCTGCACCTTGGCCAAAGAAGCCAACACAGCAACGAGCCACCCATCCCACGTGAAGCCAGAACACAGAGGGCCGGCACATGGACACGCAGGGTGAAACCGACCTTGGAAAGACAGAAGAACCTTGGAATTTCAGGGCAGTCTCTCCCACTGACCTCCCAGACACGCCCTCCAGTGAGACCGGGACAGTATGGGAGGCTTCACCTCCCTAACACCGCATTCTGCAGGAGATGGGGAAGCCTGAACCCTTCCATGGGATGCCCCTGAGGTTCAGCCTTCCTCCCAGAGTGGCTGCTTCAACTCTCGGAGGGAAGCCGAGGGTTCTGAGAGGAGGATAAAGGGCCAGAAGTCACGAGGGCTGCCTGCCCCCTCAGAGGTTGCTCACTGAGGCAGAGACTCTGTTGCCAAATGAACTTCCCCTGGCTCAATCTACAGTTACCCAGGTCTTGCTGCTGCTGGTCATAGTAAATAATTTTAGAAAGTACCTCATTGCTTGGTGTGAGAAAAATGCAGACAAGTTTCCTTTCCCTTAATAGTTCATTCTGTTTCATATCCAAAGCAAAATGAAGAGGATCGCCTGGCAAAATGTTAAAGCTTTAATTTCAAATCACTTTGAATGCTAGTTTCATCTGACAGAGGTTTTGAAAGCAAAAGGCAATCTTTATCACTTGAGGTTTTTTAAGTAAATTGATGTGATTATGTCCAACATAACCAGATGCTTCTAAAAGCCAATTTTCAAAGTGACATCAGCCCCCAAAATAAGAAACTTCCTTCTGGCTATTAATAAATTATTAAAACACTTTCTCCACAGAAGGATGAGGCTGCTGCTTGATAATCAATGGCAAACAGGCGGGCTGCAGGTTTTCCTCATAGACCCACCACCTGTGCAGGGTGCAGAGCCCCTGCCAAGGTACCCTGCATGGCCCTGCCCTTACCCCAGACCCTGGAGGAGCCTGAGCCCACTTCACTGCCCACCCACATCAAGGGTTCCACCACAAACCCTTCCTCCCAGCATAGCTGCTCATCATGGTAACCCTCTCTGGTAGACAGCTGGTCGGTGGCAAGCAAACTACTTAGAGATAATGAGGCATGAGGGGTCTACTGACAGTGGGGGTCCTAGAAGAAGTTTCCTTGTCTAGATAAAAGCAAAGAAAGAGGCCTCTCCTTTCCGCCTCTGGACATGAAACCTGAACCGGGGCGGTCCCTTGCAGCCACAAGAGAAACCAAGGAAGAGCCCAAGTCTGGAATAAAAAGAAATATATATTTGGTCCTCATTCCTGGTTTCCTAAAGCACTTGCAGTTTCCTGAATGATAGAAATGTGTCTTGTTATTCAATAATGAGCCCCTTCAATCACACCTGAATTTATGCTACAAGGTGACTCAGGGTGGGGCTGGTCACCAAAAGACCACATGAGGAGAGGCTGGGAACTTTCAGCTCTAACACCAACCTCTAGAGAGAGGGCAGTGGGGAGCCAGGGATGGGGTTGTTAAAACTCTTCAACAAGACTGGGGGAGCTTCTGAGTTGGTGGTCACATGGAGGCGCTGGGAGGCAGCGGGCCTGAGGAGAGCATGGAAGCTCCACATCCCTTCCACACCCCCTGCCCTATGCACCCCCTGATGATAAACCAGTCATAGGAAGCAAAGGACACTCCTGATTCTGTAAGTCATTCTAGCAAATTATCAAATCACAGGAGGAGGTCGTGGGGGGGGGGGTCCCTCTAACTTATGGTAGACAGGTGTATGCGACCCAATACTTGCAATGATGCCTGGAGTGGGCACAGTCTTGCGGGACCAAGCTCTTAATCTGTGGGGCTGTGCTAACACGGGCAGCCAGTGTCAGACTAGAACTCACCCTAGGACACTAGGATACCCAGCTGGTGATAAAGCTGGAGAAGTGGTGTTGGAAAAGACCGTATTTGGTGTGAGGTGGCAAAAACATAACACCAGGTCCTAGATGAAGCCACACACTGCCTACCTCTGGACTCGCTGCCAAGCTAAGGAACAAATTTGCTGGATGCTAATGCGAGTTGGGTGAGATCTTTGTTATTTGCAATGGCATCCTGGCTGTTGGAATAGTCCCTATAGGGTCTTCCTTAAGGGATCAGGTCCATATACGTACATTTTGCCCTCAGGGACCGGGTTTCTACACCACAATGAGGTCACAGGGAACCTACACACTGCAGGATAGACAAGAATGCCCCTGATCCAAGCAGGAACCCCACACCAGGAAGTCGGACTCCTAGACCCCCCTAGAAGTATCTTTGCACATCGTCACAAAGACAGGCAGTGGTGTCTCAGCTGAGTTCCACACACGTGGTAGAAACATGGGGCAACTCCCACCCTCAAACCCCTGTTCCCCTACACCCATCCCAGACCACGTCCTACCATGTGGCAAAGCACAGCCATTCCCAGGTGAGCCAGGTAGGCACACACACTCACTCACCCTGATTCTCCAAAGCAAATGCACTCACATAAGTACCCCGAGGTGGCAGATCTACCTGCTCGTGATGGTGCTGTTCTTGTCTTTCAGGGCAAGCTCTCTCTGCTGCAGCTCAACCACGAATCTGGAAAGGTCTTCTGGAGCCCTGAGGGATAAAGAAGACACACTCAGCTTCAGTTTTTCCCTAGGAAAAAACCTAACTCTGCACACAAAGAAGAAGGACAATAACAAAGCTTGTAGCTGATGATTCTGGCACCCAGGAGTGAATCCCTGCACACACGTGTCTAAGGCAGCATGCACTCACCACAACCTGGGTTCAACCACAGCCTGCCACTAGCGACCCAACATTAGGTAAAATACAGGATAAGCTTTGATCTTATTTCACCTATAAAAGTAGGGACTATATGACAAATGGTGTTACTATGCAGAGGAAATAAAACCAAGTTGAAAAGCACCCACCAAGTGCCTAGCATAGGGAGGTGCTCAGTTAAGGTTTAGGTTGGTTCCTTTCCTTACTTCTCCTTTAAAATATCCACATATAACAACAAGAGTAATAACAGACTCCCACATGTATAATGCTATATAATTTCAACCCTATTCCAGATTAAGTGTCTCAGTTAATGCTCGGAGTAGCCCTATTTACTACTGTTTCCATTTTGTTTTTGTTTGTATGTTTGTTTGTTTGTTTTTGAGCCAGAATCTCACTCTGTCACCCAGGCTGGAGTACAGTGGCACGTTCACGGCCACCCCTGCGTCAACCTGCCGGGCTCAGGCAATCCTTCCGTCTCAGCCTTCCAAATAGCTGGAACAACAGGCACGCGCTACCATGCCCAGCTAATTTTTTGATATATTGTAGAGATGAGGTCTCACCAAGTTGCCCAGATTGGTCTCGAACCCCTGGGCTCAGGCAATCCTCTTGCCTCAGTCTCCCAAAGTACTGGGATTACAGGTTTGAGCCACCACGCTCGGCTATTGTTTCCATTTTGTAAACAAGGAAACTGATACTCAAACATGTCAAGTGGCTGGTACAAAGTCTGCTCCAGTAACAGACAGAAACTGAACCTCAATGTGGGCCACATATTCTAACTTAAAGCTGTAACTCAGGAGAACACACACCAAGGACATGAAAGATGAAAAGTTACACCCCAGTGGCGTGTGAATGTTCCCAGTCACACGATATGAGACACAAAAGCCAAAGGTTCTCTGGCGTGGAGCAGTCAAGTGGCATGTGAGCTCAAGGCCCAAGGACCCATCCTTGTTCTTCCCGCCTGTCGATGCACCAAGCACACAGGGCCACGCAGGTGCTGGGGCAATGTTGTGTGAGCCTCAGTCGACCCCCATCCAGGGAACCACCAACACACCACTGAGGAGCAACAGACCCCAACACTGATCAAAGAGGCAGCGATTCAAGCTACACCGCTGGAAGGAGAGCCCTAATAGAGAGGAGAGTTTAGTTTGGGTGTTCAGGGCTACACGCACTCAGTGACACCACGAGCATACCCTGGATATGGTCCCAAGCAGAGGGTGGGAGCCTGGGGAGGGGTCCTGGGAATGGCCAACCCAGGATGTCCCCTTCCCCTCAGACTCTGTGCCTAGACACGCATGTCATGCTGAGGCCACGGGTTGGAGGAAGTGCTCTCCACACCTGCTGACCACATCTCGCAGCTGTGCACAGTGAGTGTTCTCATGCACCCATCCTTGAGGCCCCCTGGCTGGTTCAGGCCAGATTTGATATGCCTGTATCAATAACCATAACCTTTGGTTATATTTAGTTCAACTTTAGTTCATTAGAATTCTAAAAACCCCTCCCCTAGAGAGAATTCATGGCCATTTTTTGTGCATCCAGTGCATGTACAGGTGCCTTCTCACACTACACCTGCACACCAGAAATCCTAGCCCTCACTCTGCCCTAAATAAAATGCTATATAACCTATGGAGCAGTTTTTTTCCCTTCCAGCTGATCGCGCCTGGGCCATCTTCTCTGTAAGTTTCCAAATAAAGCCTATGTCTCATCCATTGTCTCTGGATCATTTCTTCAGCCTCTCAGACACAGTGCCTTCCTTTTTGAGTCTTTGGGAGTCCAGCACAATGGGATATTTCTGGAGTGTCTTCTATCACTAGAAGGAAGCTCCCAAGAACTCATCAACAGGATGTCTTACAGCCCAGCCCAGCCCCGGATCCCTCACACGCCCCAGAGCCTGTCATCAGCACTCCCTCTGACTGGCGCCTTTTCCCACAGTGCAAGCCATGGCCTTTTTCCTACAAGACCCCCTAACAGAGGTCTTCTCTGCCCACCTGAGGAAAAGTTCCCTTGTTCAAAGTTGAGTGATGACAGGGCAAGAATGCATAAGGGATTCTAACCACATTCCTCCCTAAATGCAAGTTAACTGTGGATGAAAAAACAGTTCTGTGGGAAAAGTGCCTATCAGTAAAAGGTCTTTTGAGGAACTGAAACCTAGGAGGAAGGTAGAAGGCAGCGCTGGCCTCAAACACAGTTCCCATTCTCTCCAGAGCTTCCTAAAGCTTTCCAACCTCAGGAAGATAAAAACAGCGGTACAAAAATAAGTAAACCTTTCCAAGCCAAGAGATATTTTAGAGAGATATTTAAGTTGTTTTGCATGTTCCTGCATTAGTCAAAGAGGTAAGCAAATGGTTACTAAATCAATGGGAAGAACTTATTTAAAACAAATAAAAATCCTTGTATATCCATGTTTGCAAAGCCACCTCCTAGCCCATGAGCCCAGCACCAGTAGCGCTGCCTAGGAGAAGGCGGGTGGATGCAGCAAGGGCAGCAGGCTACACCATACCCTGGGCAGCCTGGCCACCTACTGCCTCATGCCCCTCAGCCAGACACAGGTCCTCCGACCTGAAACAATGGGAGGGGTCACTGGAGAGGCATCTGCCAGGCAGGAATCCCACCCACTGGGGTTCTCACCTGCTGTGACAGCTTCCTCTGCCCAGGGGGCAAGCTGTCTGCAAGCTGTCCAAGGCTCCCTTGGAAGCTTTTGTGGAATCTCTAGCGCAGGAAGCAGTGTCAGGAGCATTTGATACTAATTTAAAAACAAGCTTCTTGCCCAAGGAACACATTCCCCCGGCAATGCTGGGAGCTGGAGTAAGACCTTGGAGAACCAGACTCTGCTAACCACGGCTTTGCAATTCCCACTTCAGAAAAGCCCGTGGGAGATGAGCAATTTAATAATGAGGGGAAAATTAGGAATGGCTCAAATAAAGTGAAAGATGAACATGATGCGGTCCCCTTTTGAAATGCCCTGCTCCCCAGCAAAGGCACAGTGCCCAGGTCAGCTCACATGTCACTCAGCTGCACCCAGGAAAGCCTGTCCCAGTCAACACTTCCATCCGTCCTCAGAAACCTGAATACTCTGGAACCAGGAGCAGCCATTTCAAGCAAGCATCAAGAAGTCCAGCTCCATATTCACATACACTAAGCAGGAAACTGCTTCTCTGTGTCTCTCTGCAGCACTGCTCTCATCCAATGAGACAACAATTCAAACGGTGTGAACCTGGTGGAGGGGCGTGTGTAATCAAACTTGCCCTGTCCCTCCCTCGGGGGGGCACAGAGAGCAGCTTTCACTGAGGCAAACGGCGGTGCCCAACCCAGGCCTGATGGTTCCCATACAAACCCCAACCACAGCAGCTCTGATAAATGCACAACCAATGGTGGGCTCTCTGCCTGGCTACTTGCTGGCCACATCCTCTGGCCCCAATTTCAGGTACAACCCTCAGTCCTCACATGCGTCCCCTGTCCTGGGAAGCGTAGAAGCTGCAGGTCTACCATACTCTGGAGCTCTCAAAAGACAAAGGCTGGGCCCAATCCTGCCTCCAGGAGTCATTGGAGAGGACGGGAGAAGTCTTCCCGTCATGGCCTCTTGTACTTAAAAACCCAGTCACTCCTTTGACCAAATCAAGACTCATGCGTCCTATCTGGCCATTCTTACTACTAGGTTTCAACTTCTCCTAAAGAACACAAAGAGCAGCAAGCTAGATGACAGCATTCACGAATTTATACTAAACCAGTTTATTTTATCCCAGAGAAAGAGTAAAAGCAAGTAAAGTCTTTAAAGGAAAAAGAAACAGAACAACAGCAGAACTGGGACTCAGTTCCAGCCCAGACCACTCCTGTGAGACTCAGCTCGGCTGGGCTTCCAAAGACCCATCTCCAAAACCCTAAGGCAAAGGCATACTATACTGCTTCTGTCTGACAACCCCTCACACCTTTAACTTTATGGATATGGAAAAAAGTAGGGACAATGTTTTAAGGTATACAATCTGGCCCCATTTTAATTCTGAGATTAGGAAACAACAAAACGTGCACTAGTGGAAGAGATGCATGATAGATCATTGTGTAAGCAAGAAACACATGTTTCAACTAAAAATCATCATCAATCAATATATTAAAAATTGTGGAATGCTGTAAACCCTTGGTTCAGCAGTGAGTCCATCAAAAAAGGAAATGTGCTCAACATATTACAAAAATTGACTCAAGATGGATTAAAGACTTAAACATAGACCTGAAACTATAAAACTACTAGAAGAAAACATAGGGAAACACAGGTCAGGACGTAGGTCTATGCAAAGATTTTATACCTAAGACCTCAAAAGTAGAGGTCACAAAAACAAAAATAGACAAACAGGAACTATATTAAACTAAAAAGCTTCTGCACAGCAAAGTAAATAATCAACAGAGAGAAAAGACAACCTGTTGAATGGGAGAAACTATTTGCAAATGATTTATCCAATAAGAGACTAATATTCAGAGTATATAAGGAACTAAAACAACTCAACAATTTAAAAAAATTTATAATCAAAGAAAGAAGTAGGCAAAGGACATGAATAGACAGTTCTCAAAGGAAAACATACAGATGGCCAACAAGCACATAAAATAATGTTCAACATCACTAATCATCAAGACATGCAAATCAAAATCACAATGAGATATCATCTTAACCCAGTTAGAATGACTATTAATAAAAAGACAAAAAATAGCATATGCTAGCAAGACTGTAGAGAAAAGGGACCTCTTTTTTTTTAATGTGGGGTACAATTCAGGTTTAGGTACACAAATGTTCATTATGCAGATACCCTTGTTGATGAGGTGGGCCCTCCACCTTGCCTGGCAGTTTCCCACTACTG